CTTAGGAAAAGAACAAAGGAAATATTCTCCCCATGGGGGAGAGGGGGAGGCTCCTGAGATAGTGATGGTGTTGCTTCCAGGTTCCTCTACTTTGGAATACACGGGCAGCACTGTGGACAGAAGCCGATCCACCTTCCTCTTCTCGGCCACCAGCTGGTTGGTCACCTCCTCCAGGTGACTGGCGTACGCTTCCAGCTTGTTCACCATACTGTCTAGTACACTCATGTGGCTTTAAAAGAACCCAGAGATTTACGTCTTTTTCCAAGAACTGTAGGGCCACAATGGAGTACAACTTCCAAGTACACATTCTAAGACAACATGTCTTGACCCTGAGGTTTCCTGCTTAGGCGTTGTTAATGGGCAGCAGGGTGATGGCGATGGCTGTGAGGCCGCGTGGCAGGACGTCCGTTACCAGCCCTGTGATCTTGAACTGCACCCTGCATTCTTTTAAGCCTCAGTTCCTTCATCTGGGGAGTGAGGATAATAATACACAGCTCGCAGGGTTCTTCTGAAGGTTTGGGGAGATAATGAGCAGTCGGGCCATGCCTGGCCCCCAGCGGGCACTCATCCTATAGGCTCTTGTTTTAGAAGGGTCTTCAGAGAAATCATTAAAATTCTTCATCTTTCAGATGAGGACACTGGGGCTTGCACAGGAAATAAGACTTTCCTTCATATTGGGGGCCCTGTGTTCTAAGTAAAAAGTTATGACCAACCCAAGAGACATGATTTAAAACCATTTTGATGTGGAAAACACAGAATACATGGGCTGCTGTGTTAAGAAATGTATAGTGACACGGCCAGATTAGGGGGAGATGCCCTGACTCCCAGCCCAGGCCTCCTGTCAACTCAAGCTCCTTCTGAATGGCTGTGCCCTCATACGTTCAAAGGTCAAAAGATGGCACAAATACCGTGATGTGGGGGCAAGATACTATCCAGACAAGTGTTCAAGAGGCTTGAATAATTTCAGTCCACAACCACTCTACAGTCGGTGAGTAGTTTTTTGTTTCACCCTCCAGTCCCAATGCATTAGTCATAACCCTTCGAATGCTGGTTTGAAAAAGATTCTGAGGCCATGTCAAAACTCCCTGGGAAAGACAGCCTTGATTGATC